CCATCTCGGCAAGAGTTCAAAACCTCGGGCATGGACCTCATCGAGGGTCTCTCTTCGAGATAGCTGCTTTACATACTTGGTCTTCATCTTTAAGCAGGCATCGGCTACCTCTACATCGGCCTTATACTAGGCCAACATTTCCTCGACATCGAAGGAATCAACAGAAGTTACCTCCAACTTGGACCTCAGCATATTATATTCTTAGCCGAGGGCATCCCATTTTGTGATGGCCGATTTCAGCTGTGCCCCGAGTTTATCATTTAGCCGAGACCACTTGTTGGACTTGTCTTTTACAACTCGGAGTTGATCCTTGTACGATGTTTGCTCCACTTTTACATCCTCTTTTTTCGGAGTCAACAGGTTTATCATGCCCTTACACGTCTTGGCCGTGGCCTTGACCTCATCCATCTCAGCCCGAAGTTGGTCGTTCATGTTTATCTTCTCTTGGACCTGCGAAGTTGCATTGTTAGTCTCCATGAGTAGCTTCTCGTTTTTAGCGTCAAAGATTATTACCTTTCTAACCAGGTTGGCATGCTCCCGCTTCAAGGTCAAGGCCTCCTTCTGGGCCTTTTGCAGTTCGGCTCGGAGAATCGGGAGGTCCTTGAGGGCCTCGTCTTGTTGTTCACTAAGAGCCTTGTACATGTCCTTCTTCTGGACTTGCTCTTTGAGCTTGAACTCAAGCTGGTTGATCTCCAAGAGGGACCGGAGGAAGCTTTCATGATGAAGCACTAAAGCCTGAAAATATAACGAAGTCATTAGAGTATGAGGGTGTATGGATTGGCTTATAAAAAGTAGCTTTTAAGCTAAAAGCCAAAAACCATAAGTTGGTAATACCCAATTTTGGCTTTTGACTTATTATTTTACTTTTTATCCCTCAAAGTAAGTGCTTTTAAGCACTTTTTATCATTGCCAAACACCACACAAACTAAAAAAGTGCTTAAAAGCCAATAAGCACTTAAAATAAGCCAATCCAGACACCCTTTATGTCTAAAACCAAGCAAGATTCACAAGGGGTATGGAGATTAGACACCTTACCCGGTTCAGTGCCTGGTGTGCCTCATTGAAGAGGCCCGACGTGCCCACATCGTTCATTTTGCTCGGTCCTCCTCGCTCACCAGGCAACGAAGGTAGCTGGCTACGCCCACCGGAGCGGACAAGGCTTGGGCGTCCGCTGGAATAGTAAGAACGACCGTTCTCTTATACTCAGGGTTCACACTTGGAGCAGGGAATTGCTTTACCAATTTTAGAGTCGAAATCGGCTCGCCCGCTCCAGATGGCACATCCTTTTTTGGGGCATCTAGGTGACCAATCCCGGAAAAGTCCTCCACGCGGCCAAGTTCATGCCATCAAAGAACGTATTAAGGGCATCATCGGGGCACTGCGCCATCTCGTTTGATTTCTCTTTGCCTGTATGAGCCTCTTTGAGCATAGACTTAGTATAGGATGACGTCTCCACGATTTCAATAACACTGGTTACCTCCTTTGGGACAAGAGCGGCTTCTCGAGAGGCCACGACCTCCATCTCTCCCATTGGCTCCCGAACTAGAGGGTGATCGACCTCGTGGTCATCTTTCCTGGTTGTTGTCTGCTCCCCCTTATTAAGGGTCAGCCCATGAGCAATGAACTCAAGGTCGTCATCCTCGTAATAATCCCTAAGCCGGTAGAGGGAATCAGAGTCCGGTACCTTAGACTTAGTGCTCTTTTTAATTTTTTAGACTCGGATGGTCACCTTCTTCTTCTTTGCCTCGGCATCCTGGGAGCCCGAGGACTTTCTCTTCTTTTTCTCATTCGCGGAAGCCCGGGCTGTCCCAAAGCGGAGGGTTCGGAAAGCAAGGACGGATCGTCGTACTCATCCAACGGCCTGAGCTTGTTTGTCTTAAGCAAACCTGTAAGAAGAAAGAAGACTTAGCAATGTGTAAGCCAAGAGTATGAAGGTAATCATTGGGGGGGGGTAACCATGAGAACGGCCGTCCCATTTGCCCTTCAAGAGTTTGTGCCATGCGCGCTCAGAGTATGGCATTTGTTTGCAGATCCCCTAGATCCACTCCTTGAAGCGGGGGACTGCATTAGGAACTTGGGCAACCACTGCACAACGACAAATACATGCAATTAGAAAAAGATAAAAGAGAATATCAAATACTCGAGAAGGAAAAGACTTACGAGAGGTGTTCCATTTCTCCGAGGACAGTACAAATTCGGGGGGATGAGGTCTTCGGTTTTCACCCGAACGAACCTCCCCTGCCAGCCTCAATCCGAACTACTTATTACAAGTTTCAATAATCTTATCCGAACTCCTAACTATTTAATTGTAAAATATTCCTTTTATGGGAAGTGCTTTTTCACCACATGTTTATCAGTTAATGCTTTGAATGTCTTTTTTTCTTCTTCTTCAAAATGTGCAATTTTGATTGGAAATTCCACTACTGTGTATTTTTTGTAAGATTTTATAAATATGCAAAATGCATTTGCGTGCATTCTAAGTGAATTGAGATAAGCTTGGGAGATGTCACTACTCACTAGCAACTTACAACTTGTTTGGAGGGTTGTTATGGATCGTTTTATAATGCAATGTATTGTATTATAATCGGTTTGATGCATATAATGTTTGGATAGATTGTATTATTTGTCATCGTTTCGTGATATTATGCACCAATAATATTAAGAATAAATTTACAATTTTATAAAGAAAAAATAAGGTACGGGGTAGAATTATTATATAAAAGGTAGGATAAAGTATGATTATCTAATAATAAGGAATGACAATATGAGAGAAAAAAATAAGGTAACGACGTGACTAAACCAAATCGGTCGTTACATAAATTGGTGCTTTTAATCGTTACATAACGATGGATTTAACGATACGATAAAATAAAATTTAAGTAACTATCAAAACGAACATTATATTCAAAGTAACTATAAATACAATACAATAAGTAACAAGTTGTTAAGAAAGCATACTTGTGGATATGAAAAAAGCCATAAACCGCCCTCGACATATAAATCGCAAACTTCTAATGCAACTTATAAACTGCAATCATCTAGTGCGACTTATAAATCGCAATTGTCTAATGTGACTTATAAATCGCAATCATCTTGTGACTTATAAACGTCTAATCCTCTTATAAATCGCAATCATCTTGCGATTTATAAACGTCTAATCCTCTTATAAATCGTAATCAACTAATGCGAAATTGCGTACCAAACAACTTATAAATCTCTGTTCGTAATATAAATCGCATTAAGTGAATGCGACTTATAAGGTGCTTTTACAGGCGATTTATGTATTAACTATCTATCTATTCTATACTATATTAAAAACACGAAGGCCCTTAGCGAAATGTCGTTCACCTTTTTTACCCTTTAAAAATAGAGTACACACTAGACAAAATTGTCATTTAATTATTTTCCTAATATTTAAGACTTCAAAATCGCCAAAATTTTCTATATTATCTTTTTCCTTATTTAAATTACATAATACCATATTTGTAAAAAAAAAAAAAATACTAGCAAAATCAAAGTAGAAACTAGCGTGTATTTTGAACTCCTATAAGGTTTAGGAGTGTTGTCTTTGTATAGAATTATTGCCGGTTAATTCTTTAAAATTTTACTATTTTAGTAAAATGAAAGAAAATTAATTGAAAGAGAATAAGTAGAAAACAAATAAAGTCTTGTGCAATTAGAACTCCTTTTTCTTTTTTAAATGTAAGATGTTACTCTTGTAGTGTGAATGCTTCAAACTTCATCACTATCCACTTTACAACAAATAACTTAAAATAATTAAAGGGTACGATACACATGCACTAAAATTTACCAAAAAAAAAAAAGATTTAATTTTAAATCAAAAACTATTGAAGTTTCCTATACATCGTAAATCAAAACCTATAAAGCTAATAAAAAATCTATAAATAAGTTTACAAAATATAGGAATATAATTTTTAAAATAATTATAATTATATTATAGTAATTATAAACTATAAGATATTTTAAATTTTTTGTTAAATTTATACATGTTAAAGCACAAATCCAATTAGATAATTGAAACATAAATAAGATAAAGAAATTTATATAACGAAATTAATAGTAATAAATTGCACGTATTTCTTTATAAGAAATTTAAGGATGAAATAGTAGAAAATAAGGTATATTATAAATAAGTCGTCATTTTTAATGTTTTTATTTTTTGGCATTTAGTCCTACTAATGATAGCTTCACTATTTTTTTTAATATTAAACTATTTATCGTAAATATTAACTCAATCATAATTTTTTTTTAAACTTTGTAATTTCAAGTTCATAACTATTGAAATCTCCTATCCATCGTAAATCAAACCTATAAATATATTACGACGAGTAAAAATATTATATATAACTAAGTTTACAAATGACAAGACTATATTTGGAAATAATATAATTATATTAATAATAGCTATAGTGTACTTTAAAAATTTTGTTGAGCTTTTGCACGTAAAAGCACAAACCCAATCAAATAAGTGAGGCATAAATAAGATACTGAAATATATCGGAATTATACGAATAAAGCGTATGTATTTTTTAAGAAATTTAAGGATGAAGTAATAAGAAAAATATTTATTGTAAATAATAAGTTGTCATTTTTTTCTTGTATTTAGTCCAAAAAATGACGATGCCTCACTACATTTTTTATATTAAATTTTTTATTATAAGATATTAATTCAACTATAGTCATTTTTTAGACTTTACAATATTAATTTTTGGGAAGCTATAAGACCAACCTTTCTATTCTCGTTTGTGTTTTGTTCTCTATATTAGGCCACCAAAACAGCAATAGTTTTCATAAGACCACATACATCCTCATAAATGACAATAAAGCATCTAAAATCTTATGTCGATCATGATTTTTTCATTTATTGAGCTAACTAAACGAGAATAACAATCAAATTTTTAAAAATTTCTTTAACTTTTATTAGACAAATACATAGTTATTCATTAATATAGATACACGCAGGAAGTACTAATTTTTCTTAAAAACATTACACCTTCGCTATATATCACGCCCTTTCTCCTTGCGGTCGAAGAGCAGTGTCATTCTAACATCATCTTCCTAACAACTTGCACCGATTGCTTTCCCTGCCGATTTCCCTCATCGCTCGCAACAGGTTTGGCATCTGAATACCTCTTCACCAAATTGTTACTTATCTTTTTCCATTTGTCATCTTCTTCTCATATTTTCCCCCAAATCTACTTGCTTGTCAGATTTTAGGCGCCACTAATATTCCCTCCATCTATTTCCCCGGCTAAATCCTAGGCGATATCTGTCTCTTGCAAAGTCCAGTTGTAAGTTGCTTGTCAATTTTGTACTGATTTTCTTATGTGAGTACCTTAATCGTTTTCTTATGTCTCATATTTATTTTTTTTAAATTTTTGAGAATTAGACCAGAGGGGTTGCTCTTATGGTAAGCAACCCCACTTCCAACCGAGAGGTTGTGAGTTCGAGTCTCCCCAAGAGCAAGGTGGGAAGTTCTTGGAGGAAGGATGCCGGGGTCTATTTGGAAACAGTCTCTCCCTTAGGTAACGTGTGTGTACACACTACCCTCCCCAGACCCCACTAAGTGGGATTATACTGGGTTGTTGTTGTATATGTTTTTTGAGAATTTTGATATGACTAGCATCTAATTCAGTTCTAGTTTTCACGGCTTTTGACCTTACTTTTCTATGTTTCTCTTTTGCTTTGTTTAATATGGTTATTGCTGCGTACATGTGCTTCATAATATGGTAGGAGTCATGCCCATCATCATAGGAGATGAAAACCTAGGTGAAATGGCTTATTTAAAGAAAAAATAAGTAGTTCACGTGCGTGTAGAGAAACTAGTATGAATCCATAAGCGCAAATTTCGTCGACCATTGAAGAGTGTTCTGCGCCGGCTTCACTCTGCAACTCTTTCCACCTCCGCCTCGCTGTCGCAACCACATCCGCTGATGTGTGTTGTTCTCATCTCCGGGAGTTTTCTAACAGAGTTCCATAATTCCCCAAGGGTTCCAATCACTCCTCCCCCAGCTGCCAAAGAGCAAGAAAATTGATAGTTTGAAAGGTTAGCAAATGCACAATAATAACTTAATTTTGTTAAATGGGGATTAGATGATCAGTACTAGTTTTTGTGCTTAACAAGTTCTTCAACTGATTCAACTATGTACCAACTCTTCACTTCTAATTTTCCACAAATTATTTGCTTTCCACACTCATTGGGTTAAAAGGAGCAAAGCCCTCTTATCAATTTGTTAATTTTTTCATGTCTCGAGGCCAACATGTAACACTTATACCCTGTGTTAGGTTTCTTGTTTGAGATATCATGCACTTAATTTTCTATGTGGGATATATTGGGAGTTCCAGAACTCTAAAGAAGCAAACTTTATCTTTAACAAAAAATGATGAGAAAATTGTCAGAGTAGTCACCATAGGGATAGCTAAAGAAGCAAATTATTGTCAGCTTTCTTCTTGAGCTGGTGTTTTATTTTGTTACAGGGAATTGCAGGATTCTGAAATAGCAGGTATAGTTACTTTTTGTTGTGAAGCATTCATGTAGTGTGTGTCTGCACTGTCTTTGTTATATCTCTGCTGCAGTTGACCTTTTTTTTATCTTCTCTTTCGTTGCTGGTTGTTCGAGATTGGAAAAAAAAGAAGAAGAAAAGAAAACCTGAGTAAATTAGGTGTATCGGCTATCACACTTCTTCTTTTACCTGTTCTTTTTTAAGTATATTACCCGAAATCTCCCTGTGTGAGCTTCATAAAGTATCCATCCCAAGCTCGGATAAGAGAGTGGTGCAAGGGTACACAGCCGGTGTAAAAAGTAGTCTATCATTTGAATAACGTTCTCATTGGAAAGTGCCCACCAGGGCCTTAACAAAGCGGAATGGGGTACAGAGAGTTCATATAATGAACTAGTTTGGAATATGACATAGGTGACTGATCTAATTACTCACTTATCCCTTAGTTTAAGGTTTTTTTTTCCTTTGATAGGGTAATAAATTTCATCAACAAGGGTGGAAACTTAGACTGATGTGATAACCACTGCACCACGACCCCCTAGTTTTAGGCTTCCTGAGTATGTTAGACTTAATGATTGTCATTACTTCTTAATATCTTATCAACTACTAGGAATGCAAGTGGATTTTTGTATTGGTGATTCCAGATCGTTTTATTTTTTGAGTTAAGTCTCTGAGAGTGTTCACTTTTTTTCTCTTCTTATTTTTATATCTGGATATGAAGGCTTGATCTTTTATAAGCTCGTGATGTATAATCGGAACAAGATATCACCCATTTGATAATAGTTCACTTCTAGCGGATTCTCTTTATTTTTAGGCATTACAATTTTGACATGATATTGCGCACCACTTGTATTATTCCCCTATATTTTAAATTTTATGTCTTCATGTCCATGTCCGACAAACCCTAGTGTCCATACAGCTGCTACTCAGCTCCATACATCTTTAGTTCTATCAATGTAAAAGGGTTCCTATACTTCTACTGGATGCTATGAATAAAGTTGAGTTACCTTATCAAAGAAAAAAGGTATTCACATGCTGTGGCAAATGGATCACCCTTCTTGTTTGTGGCTCTTTCCTCTCGTTTGCTAAATAATGGTTATCAGAAAGGTCCCTTTCTTGTGCTTTCTTGTTTCTTTTATAAACCATAGAAATCTGCAGCATTTGCCTTCTCAGAGTCTGGAGATACATACTTTTTGATGCACCTAAAACAAGATTCAAAGAAAGCGTTTGTATTGGGATTCAAATAAAACTAGGGGAACACTTCTGATCTAAGGATTTGGCTGCATGACAGTTCAGATATATCAAAGAAAACCCAAATTTTGCATAGAATTAAACTCAACGCTAAGAAGGAGAGGAGATGAAAGGGGCAGGTGTTCAATGTTTGCCGTATATGAATTTCTTTTGTGATGACAGTTTTGCTGGGAGTATTCTTGATTCCTCATTGAGAATGTCATCATATTTTTACAGGTGAAGAAGAGTTTTTTTTGGTTGTGGTCTAGAACCCACTGCAAAGTAACTTATAGGGCCTCCACTGTTGTATCTTACCTGGTATCATTTCCTTCTCCTCTTCCTGTTTAGGTAGAAGTACTCGGTTTTAAATTAGTTGTTGTAATGCTGTGCAATTATGGTTGATGATTAGGTGGTTTAAAATGACAATCAGTTCGGAAGAGGCATCAAAGAAAACTTCACGTTCTCAATTGGTTGTGTTGAACAGGGCATTCAAATTGGTAAGTGTTCCTTTCTTAGACTATCTAAGATGGAAGTCAGATGTGTGTGATTGGCTATATGTATAGTTTTAACTTTTTGGACGGTAACTCTTCAAGTGTAACATGCATAGGCACTAAAGATAGGAAGTTTTGGTGTGTAGCATACATAAGGTTCTGGTTTAACTGGTCTAAAGTAGGAGATACAATGACTTTTATCAGGTCGTGAGGCAACGATGTTTATCTTAAAGTTCTTCTGAAAAAAGGGGGCTAGTAATTCATGATTTCATAGCCTAAAGTTAACTTGGTACTCATATCATGTTACTCCACTATTTTCCCACAACATATTTTCTTTTCCCTATGTAAATAACTGGAGCAACATTCTTGAAGTCGTCTAGGTACCTTGACTGATTGTACTGTTATACATGTTTTAGTTAATATAGACTGTTGCTATGGTTTGAATATGTGATTCATTTGCAGGCTGAGCAATGGGTTAACAATATGGGCTCTTCAGATGATGCTAAACCAAATAATGTGGTTCTAGAGAGTCGTCCACCTAGGTAAAATCTTCTTCGACATGACTATATTTTGTTGAAATTCCTAGGGTTAATTTCTTAGGTCCTCGTAGGCTTGGAATTGGTGCTGCAGTTCCACGTCAATCTCAAACTGTACTCTCAAATGACCCCGCAGAAAGAAAATTACGTGCTAAATTGGATGCTGAGAAAAGAAAAAAATTGAAGAGCTCTGAAGCATCAACAATTTCTGCCAAAGACGGGAAAGTTGATGAAGAAAGCGATGACGAGGAATTAGAAAGCAAAACAAAAGCGTTTACCAAGAAGAGGCCTGCGGCTTTGCCCTCGTCTCTGCAAGCAAAGAAGAAGAAGTGACTTTGCATTATCTAGCAATGAATACTTCGAGATGTGCTATAGTTTTCCTTTAGTATATTATTCTAAGCCTTCATCTTCTTGTTGCCATTTTGGAAGCTGCAGTTCTCCTGAGGTCTCAGTCTCCAGTTAAGAGAAAAGTTTTGAGTTCTGAGTAGCTGACTTAGAGTTTCAGTTCTGTTTGTGAGAGTAACAAATTCTAGCTGCAAACACTTGCTTGTGGATGTTGGAATAGGAGGGTGGCACCCAGGGAACATGTTTTTTACCATCTCACGCTAAAGCATATTCTATCTAGCTGCAAACACTTGCTTGTATGAAATTCATATTCTCTTGTCATGTGCTATATTACAATAATCCTGAGAAATGTCCATAGTGATCTTCATATTTTCCATGTTAAAAGAATGAAACAAAATTTTGTCTTCGCTTGTGCCATGGGCAAAACTCTAAGTTTAACAAGTGTTGCCCCTCGCTTGCCTTAGTGGCAACACATTAGTTCTGCCATGGGACAAACGGGGTCAAAAGTTAAAGACCAACCCAGAAAGTGTAATTTTTTGGGTTCGAGATACCAAAATATGACTTGCCCAAATGAGACAAATTGACAGCAGTAGCTTCAAGCATACTTAGGCTATCGTAGGGTGATACAAACAACCATGTCAAGGTATTATTTCTTCTTCTTTTTTCTCCTACTTCAATGTTATTTTCAGTTACAACCACTTTGTACTTACAAGAGAAATTTAAAAGATGGACCAAAAAGGAATGACCTGTGTCAAACGCCCAAAACCTCAACAACCAATCTGCCACGCAAAAAGAAAAAGAAGAAACTCAATATGTAGGTTCAACACACATTAACAAAACCAGAAACCACACATTCTACATCTATTAGAACCCCGGTCATTACCAGGTCACGACTGGGTTGAAGCTCAATCATATCATGAGATTTTCTCCAGAGAGGAACTAACTTTTGATATCTTAAAAAGCAGTTAAATCAAAGAGGAGTTCCGTGATCCCTTGAGTCCACTCTTTATTTGCTAGCTTTTGCATGGAAGTCTGTAATCTGTCATAAAAGTAAGTAGTGTCTCGCAACAGCTGCATGGTCTACGTCGTTATCTAGAGTCTAGGGAAGTCTTCTCTTAGTCCCTACAGAGAGACAGGTCGGTCACTGGTCCACGCTACTGTCAATTTCATTCTTGGCTGGGAAGAGAGCATCTTCTTCGCACTCCAATGTATCACTAGATATGCTCAAAACTGTGTCCTCCACCAACTCTTCCAGAATAATCTCCTCCATCTCAACACCGATATGTCCAAGATCCAACCGGAGATCCATCCATGTCCCTGATCTTTCCATGTCTTTTTTGACAAGCTGGTCCAAAGAATGAGGAGTTGAATACTGGAGAAGATACCATTCTACTCCTTCCCATACTTCATTTATCAGGTCCATCCCTTTTGGAACAGGTCGAATGTTATGTTTACCAAGTGACACTCCGGGGTGACAGCCAAAATAGCGGTCACAGACTGCCTTAAGAACTTCATTTGCACAATCAAAAAGGAGCTTTTGATCATGAGAAGATCGGCTTGAAAATAACTCTACCTCGTCAAATAACGATGGGTCAAGAACCTGGTCAGACGAAAGCCACCTCAAGAGAAGATCATCCCAATTTAATCCTGAACCTAGAAGAACTGCTTCCACGTATTCAAAAGCGGATTCTTCATTTTCAAAACAAACTGTTGGACACACTTGTTCACTGATGGAAGTCACTGGTTCTTCAAAATGGATTTTCCGTGGTTGAATTTCTGGATCAACTGTACACATGTGAACAGCTACATTTCAGTTAGGTGTGCATAAAAGAAAATGATTCACGGTTTAAGCAAATTCTATAGTAAAAAGGTTTAACCTGGTCGGCATATAGTGCTGGAAGGACTGACATCATCCTCCACAAATAATGGCTCAAGCACTGAGACGGGACTAGGTCGCTCCATTCTATCAACTACACAGTTAGGATCTTCAGCTTTCCTAGGGCTTGAAAAGCATGCAGGTGAAACTGGTGGAGAAGATAGAGTTTGATCCTTCCTAGATGGATCCTGAAGTAAAGCAGAAGAAGATTATAGATACTGTAGCACCAAAGGAAAGGGCTCATTCTTTCAAACTAGTGTTAGATGAGCTTTTTTTTATCAGGTAATAAAATTCTGTTAAACAATTGGAAAAACTCTAGTGTTCGATGAGCTTATCATAACCTTCACCAAAAAAAAAAAAAAACTTGAAAAATAGAACGAATTTCATTACAAGTTCAAATTAACTTTATAGCAAGATATATTTATACATAAAAATGTTAAGTAATGTTATTAAAGCAGGCAGTGTGATAAATTGTAAAATGGGAGACAACATATAATCTGAAAAAATTTGGTAAGTTCATTCGAAGGTACGTGAAGACAGAAACATTACCCAAAAAAAAACTAATTACACAGAAAGCAAAGAAAGGTAAGAAACCAACAAGAACATTTAATCTCTTTTTAAAATTTTATTTGTGACTACAAATTTTTATCATATAAAGAAATATGTTGCGGATACTGACATGGATTTTTTTTTTAAACAAGACTTATCATGAAAAAATACAATTAGATATTACGACCTTTTCCTTTTGTAAAATTATAAGATTTTAATTGAAGATTAGAGAATGAATGAAACAAAATTGTATGATAAGAAAGCTCTAAGAATTCATTTTTCCGGTGATATTCCAATAAGTAGCTTATTTGAATATCTATACTTTGTTAAAAAGAATTTTTTTTTTTTTGAGATTTACTTTGTTAATGTTTTGATAAAATAAAACATGTATTTTACATTTTCTGTTATTACAATGTGCAATGCACAGGGATGCAAACTAGTAATACCAAAAAGTAGGCAACAGAAGTACTTAGCAGTCGCTACTTACTTCTTGTAAGCAGTCAAATGACAATTCAAATCCCTGGGCAGAATTTCCATCATCCACTGCATTGGTAGCGTCACCATCAATTTGGATGTCTCTGTCAATTGGAGAGCTACCAAATTCAGAAATAACACTCAACACTTCACCTTCTTCCAGGCCTTTGGTTTTAATAGTTTCTTCAATTAGATCTCCTGCAATGATTCGGAGACTGATTACACGATAATAGATTTAGAAATTGGCGAACATCGGACTGACAAATGAAAGGTCCCTAAATTCAAGAGATGATCAAGAGAAGAACACCTTTAGGACTTGTATGACCAGTTGAAGCCACGTCTTCATCCACTGTGTTCCCATTTTCACATGGAACCTCTACATTGGTGTACTCACTAGGATACTTGTCAGAACAGCTAGATTCTATCTCCAAATCTTGGGTGGATGGACTTGGACCCGTAACATGGTCATCTCGTACATGCTGAAGTCTGTCATCATTGGTTCCATGTATAGGGTCAGTAATAGGCTCCCTCATTTGGGAATGTAGCATACTATCCTTGCTGTTTTCTCTCGGACTGCAGCTAGGTGAACTGTTGTACTCGGGAAATGAAAGTATCCTCCCCAAGGATTTAGGCAACTGTCCACTACTCAACGTTGTTGTCTCATCTTCATTGTCTAGCATCTCCACAAGGTGCTTCTTTGCCTCGATGTAGATGTTGGGCATTCCTGGCCTAGGAAAATCAGATGCCTCAGTCGGTGAGACTGCTTCAACACCTTTCGACTTGACTATCTTATCCCCTCTCTTGATGCCCAGAGGAGATTTAGCAAATTTTTCAGTATAAAAATGGTCTCTATTAGGAGAACTCCATCCTAAATGTTCGCCAGAGATCCCTCTTTCACTGTTACTCCACTTCAGCTGCTCAGATGGAAATCTGCGGATGGTTCCTTCCTGAGAGATCCCATGACGATCCTTTCCCATTGCATGCTTGAGTTTTCTTTTAATTTCTGTGAATGAGAACTGGGATGTGTTTCTCTCACCCTGCATTGTACGTTTCTCGGCGTATTGCGAGTGCACTGGAGTGTTAACATTGGTTTGAGCACTAGGTGATTGCAAGCCCACTGGTCCAGGCTTCAAAATAATGATTTTACTTGAAGGTCGGGGTGTCTCATCTTCCATTGGGGGGTAAATTTCTTGAGACTTGCTCCTCCTCCTGAAAAATTTGCGTTGTTTGTGGTTTATGACGTCATCTGTTTTTGCATGAACTCGGTTTTCCTTTGACATATTAGATTCTGGAATCAAGTTAGGTTTCTGCTTTTCCTCAAACTGAGCATCCTCCAAACTTCCAATTTGCTTTAACAGCCTTGAATTTGGATCTTGTAGGAGTGTCAAGATAAATTCCTTATTTGAGCTTAGTGTTTGCAGAGCATCCATAAACTCTTTTGATTGGAGAGTCTTGTTATCATCTCCCAGTTGTTTATTGTTTCTTGATCTCTGATTTATAAACACCTCAATCGCTGCATTTAACTTTTCTTCAACAACTGGCTGAGTCTGATCTGACTGCTTGTTATGATCATTATGTAAATCTTGGCGGACCTTCACAAACTTACGACTTTTCTGATGAATCTGGCGGAGTTCTTCCATTACAATGTCCAGATCATCGAGGGCCTTCCCTCCAGAATCTTCAAGATAAGGTGCTTCAGACCTCAAATTTCCGTTATCATCTAAATCATGAAAGTGTGTATTACTCGATCTGCGTGTTCGCCTGCTGTTCTTTCTTGCACGCCATGATTTTTGTGAATTAAACTCCTCTGCATCTATTTCAGAGCCATTACCCTGATTTTTCAGGCTTTGCTCATTCACCATTTCTTCTTCCATCAGCTCCTTTACACTTGTTTTAGGATCAGGTACTGCTACCTCACTTTCTTCATTATCCTAAAATCATTAATACCATACAATTTATCATGCCAGCATATGTACAAACAAAAACTGTTAGAAATCGGTGTANCAATACCATACATTTTATCATGCCAGCATATGTACAAACAAAAAACTGTTAGAAATAAGCGTAAATGCTAAAGCGTCTTCAAAGCCTTTTGTTCCAAAAGAATTATATTTTCAATATACAGTCACAATGTTGCCTCATAACATACCTCAATATTCAGTCTATTGTCAGTGGGATCTGGTAATTCCTGCATAGAGCTTGAACAAGCAGAATCTGCAGAAGACAAAACAACGTGATTTTGTTGGACGAGGGGAGGGGATGAGAGAATTGACATCAGACGGTAGAAAGCTGCAAACAAAGAACAGAGACAGATTCATCTCTAAGAGTGAGGATTATAGATATCTTACCAACAGCTGGTTTGCTTCCTCGCTTTCTATCTGAGAGTAACTTTCTAGTGGTTCGACCATGACGAAAATCAAAGATGCTAATCAAACCCCAAATGCAACCCGCTCGATCCTTCTCATATCTCAGAGCGGGTCGCTGTGATCTCTTTGCCATGTTTGGGAACTTATTAAATTTCAGTGCACTCTATTCAATTCTCGATACTACGATATCCTCTCTGCTCAAGTCTGGTCAAGAAGAAAAGAACTTAGATTAAGGACATATAATTGGAAACTCCTTAAGATTCTGAATCAAGGAAAAGGAATTGAAACAACATAGACTCCATAGCAAATGAATGCAGCTAAATAGCCAATAAATATCCTAGTTAGAAAAATCAAATTATTATTTCCAATGGACTAGGCTATGTTGCATTTTCTAAATGGACTCACCTTCAGATCTCTTCCAATAAAAGCAATAAAAAGTTTGCAACAAACAGAACGGAAGGATCATGAAAATTCTACTAATATACAAAATATGGAATATCACTACGGCGAAAGCGGAGATACTTCCAAGATCATATCAATTGCAGTAGTGAAAAGTGGTTGATAAAAGGAACCAATAGAAAACTTTTACCAAAATTTTGGAACCTTGAGAACCAACTAAAGAAGAAGGCAACAAATATGTAGCAAAGTGTACATAAAAACCAAAAGACAATTCCCTCTTCAACTCCACAAGTTTCCCAACAGAGTAAAGCTAAAGGAACTGTAGACTTACCTAGTTGGCAACGAATCAAAAATTTGCTTTTTCCCTTTTCAAGAACAATCTTTAACACTACTTCCAATAAGGGCAGTGCAATCTCCCCCAAAAAACAATACTACATGGAAAGCAATTTGGCTCCACTACAAAAACTTCAGCACTTCATTTCACACACAGAGAGCAAAAACTTCAACTTTTCTCCAACCAACAACTTTGCCAGCAAAATGGCCCTTCAACTATTGAGAAAACTGTTTCAGACACAGAATGCGGCATCAGCAAATCATAAAGAACCTCAAAGATCACTTCTTTGTATTTTTTTGTCGGCAGAAACTTGAAAACCCAAAATTCCTTTTTTTATGAATGAGAGAAAAAAATTCACCTTTTTAATCAATTAAGAGGCACCCCCACAAAGAGGATTTCACCAAGATTGAAACTTTTTGCCTCATGAATCATGCAATTAAGAGTAAACCAAACAGGGATCAGTCAGAATGACAATTTCTTCTCCTTTGGCACGTTGAACAGAATAAAATATCTTTTTTTTTCTTCTTATAGCACTAGATATATTTAAAAAAACTATATTGAAAGGGATTTTATCAACTCAGAGAGGGTCAAGGAAAGAGGAAGTATAGCACCTAACAATAATTCAATACTCAGAACTCTTCTTTTTTACTTTATTTCTTTTGGCTATAAGAGTATCTATACCGACCAAAAAGATAAAAAGAAAGAACCCCAGATGACTAAAACACCGACCCACGTATTTACACAAAGAAAATTAGCTGTGGTCCGTGGGGCAGCCATTAAAGACCAAAGAAGTTGGAGAAAAAAAAAAAGCAAACTCGGAACTGGAAAGTAAAGATGCTACTGTGTGTGTGTGAGAGAGAGAGAGAGAGAAAGAAAGAGAAAGGGGTTTAGGCATTTAGGGTGGTGGACACTTAAGCTGATGAAGAAGAAGAAGAGTTCTTGACACCTGGGATTCTAATGGTGGGACCAATACAAATGGAGCTTCCCACTATAGGAAAAGTTCTTTTGCCACTTGTATTTTTTTTTGTTTCTTTTCTTGGTCTTATTTTTCATCAATCTTTTTCCTAAATCAGATTTTCAACTCCACGTTCATCAACATATAGATATCATCACTGACACCACCCCCCACATCTGTCTCACACCACTATGCAAAAATTGGTGTTTTTTTTTGCATTTTGATTTTGATTTTGATTGTGAGTTATGTGTTAAATCAGACAAAAACGTATGAGCATCGGATTCATACGCGTTGAAAGAGAGAGGGGAGAAAAAGAAATAGAGAAATAACTGTGAGCGTTATTACACTTTTTTTGGTAGAAAATTGACTTCTAGTTTTAATGTACTGTATACTAGTAGCTGTGGATGATAGGGAAAGGTGATATGTGTGGAATTATGTGAAAATTACAAGGACAAGACTGACATTTACATTTTCTTTTTTAAGCAGACAAAATAAATAATCTGATCCAGGTGTTATGTATTTAATTAATTTCCACTTGGATTTGAATTTGATACTTTTTTTTTAAAACTAAACTATGTTACTATTTTAGATTATAAACATTTAATCGAAGTTTTTTTTTTCCTCACCAGTAAACTCGATTTTAGTTCATTTTGGATCTTAAAATCTAATTGTACGGCTATACTTAATATTTTTGTACTGAGTTTATTTAATTAGGTATTGAAACCGATTTATGAACATTTTAAGCTGCTTTATCCATTAATTTTTGTAATTTTGGATTTGATGTTTTTTTTCTTTCCACGCGAAAGTGTTAATATCTAACTTCTTTGCTAAAAATAATTTAGCTGAATTTATCCTGCATTTTATTTAGGTATTGAAACCAATTTATGAACATTTTAAGCTACTTTATGCATTAATTTTTTGTGATTTTGTATTTGATGTTTTTTCTTTCCACGAGAACACGCTAATATCTAACTTCTTTGCTAAAAATAAATTTAGCTGAAATTATCCTGCATATTATTTAGGTATTGAAATCGATTTATGAACATTTTAAGCTACTTTATGCATTAATTTTTGTGATTTTGGATTTGATGTTTTTTCTTTCCACGAGAACGCGTTAATTTCTAATTTCTTTGCTAAAAATAATGTAGCTGAATTTATCCTGCATATTATTTCATGCCAGGCAAGATCAAGAATACGGGTAACACTTAGTATCGGATTTCGTGAATTACATGAAATTAATTATAGTAGATTCTCACAATATAATACTATCGTATATTTAGTAAATTAATTTTATCATAAGTTTGGTGGATTCTCCACAATAATTACATGAAGTTAATTATAGTAGATTCTCATAATTTAATATTATCATATATTTAGTAAATACTTATTTATCTAGAGTTGTTACTGACTCTATATATCATTAATTTATTATGGAGAATCCACCAAACTATTTTTATGACAAAATTAATTATTATTACATAAAAGACTTATGTGACAGGTTGGTGAAGCATTGATTGATCTAAAAATAAAATTAAAAGAACTTATTGATTTCACTTTGCATTAGAAACAAGTAAAGTACGAAACGTTAGTAGGAAAAGAAATTTGCATTGAACAAAGATAAGAATACTATTTAATTTTCAACCTTTATTATCATTTTGCTAGGAAAAGAGAAGAAAAAGGTTGTTAAATCAAGTTGATTTGGATATGGCAATGATGATAATGATAATTATGTTGAATGAGTAACTTAGAATTCAAACTGATTTACCTCTCGTAAGTGGAGGCCATGAACATATTAGATTTTTAGGTAATTAAACACCTAAGTGGACCTTAGTAAATTTTCTTTATAATCCAAAACTGTATGAATACGAGACAAAAGTTTTTTCATTTTTATGATCAAACTATAAAGCAAGAAATTTTAAAACTGATTTATATAACGGAAAGCAACAAATGTTTAGGATTTATATAATGAATCAGACTTGCTGTATAAACAATCCCAACCGGCCATTTCACAATCTTTTTATGATCTCAAATTCAGCAAAGTAGAAGGGAGAAAATGGATAGCATAATGACCAATATCTAAAATTTCAAAAGTCAAATTCAATATAGTATTGGTATGGCCAAAATTCGACCAAGGAAATTCAGTGCGAAGAGAAACCATAGTGGTGGGATCGTGGTTCGCGATGGGCACCTCGGCTAAGTACGACCCTGGCAAACCCATGAACAAGTCCGTCCTGGACGAGATCGAGGACAAACAGAACAAGCCATGTTCGAAAGTCGATTGGTCCGAAGTCATGTTCCTGAAGCAACGCTAACGAGCCGAGCAGCCGAGGTCAGAGTCACGCACTTAGATTGGCCAGAAATGGCTAGTTTTAGCAATAGAATATTAAAAGAATATTCTATTGGATATCCTCTACATCTTGTACTTTTAGTAGGTAAGAGATATATTTCATATAAGTAGGAAGAGAAAGAGAAAAAAAAGAGGGATTCCATCTTTTGAGAAGTTACCTCTAGAGAAGTTGACTCCCATGTAACTGCTATACATCATCTTACACGTTTGGCTATCCTACATCACTGCCAGAAAGAGAATCATCCACCTTGTTGCATAGTTGGGTGAATTACTCCTTTTATAAATAAATGATACCATTCATTTCATTTATTGTTTGTCTTCATTTCTTCCTTTTTCATAAGAACATCATTAAACCACTCTTTTGCTTTAAATAGCTTTAAATACGATTTTTAAGTGTTTTATTTCTTATCAATCTTGGATCTATAACTTATTACATTTAACTAAAATTTACCCATCATTATTTACTTAATTAGTTTAACAAAAATATTTAAGACTTTTTGGTCAAATAATTTGGCACCGTTTGTGGAGAATTTTCTAGTTAAAATTTTAGTCTCTTCTAGATCTGAGAAGAAAATAGCATAAAACTTTGCAAAAACTGGTGTTTCCCTTGTTTGCACAAATTTGACATGACAGGTAACGGAGAGGAAAGCAGTCCGACACCACTGCCAACCTCCTCCGCACCATCAACGAAGCGGGAAACGAGGACATGATGCCAAATGCATCTCCTCGGCGGAGCAATAGCTAACAACAAAGATTTGTTCGCTTTTTCCCATGCAGATATGCCAGGTATCCCAAAAGAGATAGCAACTCACAAGTTGAATGTCGACCCATTCTACCCCCCTCCCCGTAAAGCAAATCAGACGAAAGTTCAACTCGGTAATAAACGACGTTGTTCGTGAAGAGGTCGAGAAGTTACTAATAAACGGTTCCATTCGAAAGTCCAAACAGCCTTAATGGATCGCCAATACAGTCGTGTAAAAAAGAAGAATAGTAAGTGGAGAATGTGCGTGGAATTCACGGACCTAAACAAAGCCTGCCCAAAAGACACGTTCCCCCTGCCCCATATCGACCAACTCACCGACGCTACAAACGGGCACGAACTGCTGAGTTTCTTGGACGCATACTCGGGCTACAACCAAATCCTCATGGAGGAGGAGGACCAGGAAAAGACCACTTTCATCACCCTTCTGGGGACGTACTGCTATAGGGTCTAAGTCATGTCGTTTGGATTGAAAAATACAGGGGCAACGTATCAGAGGTTGGTAACGAAAATGTTCAAAGACCAACTCGGCAAAACAATGGAAGTTTACATCGACGACATGTTGGTCAAGTAGAAAAGAAAAGAGGATCACATCGACCACCTAAGAGAATCCTTCGACATACTTAGGCGTACGACGTGAAGCTAAACCCTGAGAAATGTGCCTTTGGAGTGACCTCAGGAAAAATTCCTTGGTTTTTTAATCTCGCAACGAGGAATAGAAGTTAATCCCGACCAAATCAAAGCTATCGAAGGGATACCGGAGAACCTGACCAACAAGAACAAGTACAAAAGTTAACCGGCCGCGTACCTGCCTGGTCCAGTATCGCCTTCTCCACCATTACCCTCGTCATCAGGATACTCCTCATCACACCAAGGGTCAGATGCAAGCCCGTCAAATTCCTCTCCATCCTCGTTTGTCCCCGGAGTAGCTGAGTCATAGCCGCAAGCAAGCCTAGCTTTGCGTGCCTTGACACGAGCCTCTTCGAAGTCGACCTCAAGAACACCCCCCCCCCCC